ATGTCCTGCTGACGTGGTGATTCTTTTCGCATATCCTGAACGTGACACAGGAACATCTCGCACTTCTTGCGAATCAAGCGCCTCGCGCTCAAGGACGATATGAACTCGGGAGTCTTGGGGAACACCTCCCCGGAGAGTGATACGTCGCTACCGTCCTCGGCTCTCAGCCGTACGGTCCGACAACTGCAGTCGACCACTGCTCTATGCTCGGTGAGCCAATCCATACCAAGGATAATGTCAAACTCCTTGTGTGGTAGCTCTATCAAATCTGCAGGGAATTGCTTCCCTTGCACAGACAACGGACACCTATGATAAATGTGATGAAGACGCATGCTATGTCCTAGCGGATTCGATACAACGGTAGGTATCTCAAGGTCACTCCTCACAATCGCAGAATTAGCAGGCATGCCAACACATATATAGGAGAGCGTAGGACCCGGATCGATCAAGGCATCCATTATCCTTCAACGTCTTGAAGGTAACGATGCGCGGCTGCGGCTGTGGCGGTGGCGGTGGCTGGAACATGGGCATAAGCTGCGCCATGTGCTGCATATAATGGGCCATCATGGCCGGGAACATCTGCTCGTAGGCCACCGGCGGTATCGCCAACGGTGGCATCACTGGAGGTGGCACGACTGGCGGTGGTACAGCTGGTGGCTGTCCCGCTGGCTCAGGTTGATTCTGCTGTTGCCCTCCGTCACCCGGAGGCGTGAAACTCGAACCCTCGGTGTTCACCGTGTGCACGCACACGTGCTCCGGCTCCGGAACGTACTGACCATGGGTCGATTCTTGACTCATTCTAAAATAATAAGGAAATTCCCACGTCAGATCTTAACATATAACAGATAAAGCTATAAATACTTATTACCTTCCCGGGGCAGAGGAGTTACGTGAGATGCAGATGCGGCTGAATTATTCATTGTATTTTTTTTTGAAAGGGTCCAAAGACCGATTTTAAAACCAAATGCTTCGATACCAAAATGTAACACCCCAACCCGCGAAACCCAAACCCGTGAGATAGCGGACCGGTGTGCCACTGGATTGGTATCCGAATATACAACATTTTCAAAACAATTTTAAACAAACGTTCTATCAATACATATAACAATCCATCGGAGTAATTTAAAATAATGCGGAAGCCTTTTTAAAGTCAAACAACTTGGGATCTTGCCCGAAAACGTAATAAGCATTAAAGTTAATTACATAAAGCATAATCAACAGATTAAAGAGACAGCCACGCCAGCGTACATCTCCTCCTCAATGCCCTCTGGGATCGGCTCTAGGTTCATCTGTCTGATCACCTACGGACAGCAAAAAGAAAAACAACGCTATCCGCTCAGCATGACGCTGAGTGGCACTCCATTGTAGCACAAGAATAAACATAATAATTCAACAATTGAGATCGTGCATATGTTTATCCTTTTGATAAAAATCAATTCAACTTTAAATTCGGTTCTTTAGACGGTTGACCAACAGTCAACTTATTTTCTTTCTTTTCAAAACGATTTAGGTGTTACGGGTTTCTCATTAACTCTTTGACCACCGGTCAAACCAATTTGGACTTTCACCAAGNCACGTCTTAACCTCACTGACCAGGCCCTGCAGCCGCCCGAGCAATGGCCAGTTTCTATGTTCGACACAATAAACCAATTGACCTTAATCACCGATTAGAATTAATTAATTAACTTAACTAATTCATTAAAGTCTTGGATTTAACCATTCGGTCAAACCTACGTCGACAGAATATCCAGTCAAAGTCCAAGTCAAACAGGACCTAACCCAAGTCAAAGTCAAACCTGTTCAGTCAATTCACAAACCTCAACAATTCAATTCCTATAATCAATTTAATTCAATTAACCAATTTAGCCAAATTATAGCATAAACACATATAACGATCCAAACCATTAAATCTATTCTAAATGCTATTAACTTCATAGTACAGACCTGGATTACGCCGAAATCGAATCAATAGCTCGAACGGAAGACAAATCAACGAAATCAAACGAACGGGTCAAATTGAGTCAAAATACGAAATCGACCAATCAATCCGGCGTGGAGGTTAATCTGCCGGCGATATCAACTCGGGGCAGCGGCCGGATGCGGCGACGGTGACAGACGCCGGCGACAGTGGCGGAGCGGCAGCTCGCCGGCGATGAGCAGCGACTGGCGGCGCTGCAATCGACGGCGGCGGACGACCGACGAAGGCGAAACAGCGGCGTTGCACTCGACGGCGAGGATGGCCGCTGTGCTAAGGGCGACGGCGGTGCTCGATTCCAGCGAAGGCGAAACAGCGGCGTTTGGCGACGTCCAGCGTTTGGCGTGGCGGTGCTGCAACTCGACGGCGAGAACGACGCCGGTAATGGAGGCGACGACCGCGGCTCGAAGGTTGGGAACCGTGGTCGGCGGCGCTGGACCTGGCGGTGAGCGACGGAGCGGCGGCGATTGGCTGCGGCGAGGAGGCTCTGGCTGCTCCAATTGGACGACCGGCGGCTGGCTGCTCCAATTGGACGGCGACGATGGCTGGGGAAGACGAAGAAGAAAGAAGAAGAAAGAAGAAGAAGAAGGAGAAGGACGGAAGAAGAAGAACGAACGAAAGAAGAAGAAGATAAGGTTTGTGTGGTAGATAATAGGTTTAGGTTTATTTAATGGTCCCATTCCAAAAAGGATTGGGCTTCGGACCCAAAATACCTGATTAAATGGTCATAACATGAGCTCCATAACTCCGATTCGCGAGCCGTCTGAACCGACGCGATCACAAAAATATTTCCTACGAGATGACATAAAAGTTGGGCTTAGAATCCAAATTATAATTTTAACCCATTTAGGCCCAATTCGTAATCAATTGCTCTAACAATTTAATTAATTCTTTTGGGCCAGATTTCGGGGCGTTACAGGGAGTAACATAAGTATATAACTAGTTCCAATGGTAATATAAAAGTAAAAAATTTGAAATCACATTAATGTGATTATTTACTAATGTACATAAATATAATATGTTTATTGTCAGGCAAAATCAATTTTGGATATAATCGGTTTTAGGTTTTCACTGCTTTCAAATCTTACCAGTTACGAGTCCTATCGGTTACGGATTTAACCGGTTTTGGATATAATCATTTTTGGATCTAATAGGTTTTGGATTTAAATCAAGTATGGATATATTTAGTTCGGTTTTGGTTCGGTTCGTATTGTTTCGGTTATTTGGTTATAAATCGAATAGAAATCATCCTAAATAGGACTAAAACATAGAGAAAAGTACTAAAATTGGACTTTCATGTTTTTTTCCCCGGAATAGGACTTTGCATTGTGGTAATGTGGCAGTGTACATGTGCAAATTACTATATTTTTTTGGTAATGTATATGACCATGTTTGGTAATGCAAGTCCTATTTCGAGAATAAAAACATGGAAGTCCTATTTTGGTATATTTTCAATGTTTTAGTCCTACTTTGGTCTTTCTCTCTAAATCGAATCTTCACTTTTTGGATTATTTCAGTTTCATTTTCGGATTATTTGGTTTGGGTAATCAGTTCTGGTTATGTTTTGTCAGGTCTACTTTCGACTAGCTCGCTAGCTAGCTCACAAAGCTTGTTACTCCTCCCCTCATGACATTAACTTCCTAATTTGACTTTCGAGGTCAAACGTTTTAAAATTTGACCTCATATTTCTAGAAAAGTACTTTGAATTTTTATATAAACTTAATATAAATAGATTAATTTTGAAACATGATTTTAAAATACTTTATTTGTATAATATATATTTGTGTATATATAATGATATTAATGACCAAAGTGTTACATTGCAGACTGTGAAAAATAAAATGAAAAGTTAATTTTAGGAGAGAGGACTACATTCAAATATTTTTTTGGTCATTTTGCATGGAAAGAATCCAATCGCTATCATGGAAGGGTCATTTCCGTGTTTGTGTACTTTCACCACATTTCATTCCTTTATATGCAATTTAGAAGTGCACTTCCCCCCAAAATACCAACCGGATTTGCCAAATCCGTTTTGGTGCATATTATTTAACCAAACGGATTAGGCTAATCTGTTCCACTTATTTAATTACCAAACAGATTAGCCTAATCCGTTCCTATATTTATTTATTTTTTGTAATTTTCTTAAAAGCCGGTTTGTTGCTTTGTTCCAATTTTTTTCCCTTTTAAAATTTTTTTAGTTATTTTATCTCCTCTTTTGTAAACCCTTTTAACAAATTAAATCCACTTTTATTAAGTTTTGTTTAATTTTTCTAACTTTATTGTATTAAAATATTGTATTTTAAATTTTTTTAAATTTTTTAAAAACTGAATTAAATTAATTTACTTTTATTACTTTTAAATTACTTATAAGAAACCAAATTAATTACAAAATAAACGAGATACATACATAAAGAAGATGTAAATAATAGACTACAATAAAATTTTAAACAAAATACTATTTATTGACTTTAAGTTGTATATATATAACGATATTAAAAGAACAAGACAAAACACAAAAATTTTATTGCTAGAGTACATATAACAATTTATTCTTAAAAAGTAGAAGCCAAAACACAATCCATGACTAACTTATTTGTAAAATTTAATAATACATAAACTCAGACATAGTTGAAATTCATGACAAAGCTATTCCTCGTTACGATGTCTCCGTGGGCGATAGTCCATGTTATTTGGATAGCGGGTTCTCGTACGTCGGCCGGTTCGTGTGGTGTGTCGTGGTGTTGGCCTCAGGATCTCGTACTCTAGAGTAGGCCATTGAGACTCATCCGGTAGCAGCATTATGATCCCAGAGTAAGCATTGATGTAGGACTGAATTGAAAAAACATTTGGAATCAAATGATCCACGGTGACATTACAAAAATGACATATTGCGTGGACATGATTGCACGGGAGGTGAAATGTTACCCATTGACCACAGCTACATGTTCGTGCATTTAAGTTCACCGTAAATGTCTCCCGTTGAGCAATGTAGGACGACCCATCCACACCACAGAGTATATCCCTTGTTGTGCGTGGTGCTGCACAACACGACAATACAGCCTATTTTCTTCATTTTTCCTGATATGTTTTCACACATTCATAGGAAAATTCTACCCAGATTGCGCCACACATACCCACTGGTTCGCCTCTCAGCGAAAAGTTTGACCAGCTTATCATAGGTGAACATCACACTGGCATATACTGGCAAACAACGACATCCTTTAAGGACATGATTGAAACTTTCTGAGGAATTTGTAGTCATTACACCATAACGTGACCCACCTTCATCATGTGATAAAGCCCACTTGTGTTCTGGAATGGCATTAAGCCAGTTGTAGGCATCTTGATTTTTGGATGCTATTTGGAGTAGCAACTGGTCAAACTCACTTCTATTAGGGGCTTTACCATCTTTGTACATCAAGGTCCGCAACTTTTTACTTCGGAACTTATTCCAGAAATTGATGTGTAGGTGGCGGAGACAATATCTTCGAGTCACTCGACCTCCACCTAACTCTGGGACATTTTCAAATGCATGCTCAATCCCACTGTGTCTATCAGATATTATGCATACGCGACGATGTGGGGGAACGACATGACGCATGACATTCGTCAAGAACCATTTCCAACTTGGACCATCTTCAGCATCAGCAATGGAAAAAGCAAGGGGAAAAATTTCACCATTTCCCGTCGTTGCCATGGCAAGTAATAAACATCCCTTATACTTGCCGTATAAGTGAGTTCCATCTACTGAAATAACAGGAAGACAATAGTGAAATCCATCTATGGATGCCCTAAAGGACCATAATACATACTTGAACTGAAAAGAAGTTGGTGAATCAGTTGCCATTGTTTGTAAATCAACAACAGTTCCATGGTTTGACCCCATAATTGCACTGAGCAAGGGAGCCAACTTATTGTACAACCCTTCCCAGCTACCATACAAGCGTTGGATGGCTAATAACCGTGCACACCATGCCTTCTTGTAAGACACAGAGATATGGAACAACTCATAAATATCCCTGATAATGAGTTTGACTTTATAGTCAGCATCTTCTTGAATTTTTAGACCAATCAGGGTACTTATGAGTTCACTTGTTAACAATTTGTCGTCCTTTGCTCTTGTGTAATCGGGTCTGCATTGGTGGTACCCCTGGTATTGCTTTATGGTCCAAACACTTGTCCCTGCATTCTCTGCGGCTGGGATGAACCAAGTACATTGGGGGGTGTATACACAACTAGCTCTCTAATAACGACTCCTTTTCGCAACTGTGTGAAAGTGTCTATGCTCTGCAATGTTGCGTAATGACACAGCTTCTTGTAAACTTTTAAAAGAAGGATACGTATTACCAACCTCTATAATTGGTACATGGAAGGTTGGTTGCAAAGATCTATGCGTATAGCGTCGTTGGACTTCTTCTAAATGTGGCATTGCAACCTCGTTGTCTCCTTCGTCCCCTTCATCTGATGATATATCCTCTTCCTCTTCTGAAGAGCCTTCATCTTCCTCTAAGGGTGCAACGTACTCAGCATCATCGGGATCGCTATCAAGGTGTTGAGCGTAATCGGATGAAGATGGCTGATCCATTGGTTGCTGAAAGAATGGAACCATCCTCTTCCACCTCAACTTCCTCCTCAACATTTTTAGACACCACGATGAATACTTCAACTGCATCGTATTCACGTGATGCTTTTCGCAAAAAATGCCGCCATGTTGCTTCGTCGTTGATTGGGAGAGGTCGTGAACCAACATAAACCCCCGATTGATGTCTGGGGAATTTACCATAGACAGATTCCACGCCTTGGAATCCGTCTTGAATTAAATCACTACTAATTTTACCAAGAAAGGTGTCGTAGGATACATCAGAATTGAACAACAAAGACTTCTTCGGAAGCTCAGAGTATTGAACTTCATGACTTATAACTTGTATCTCACCACTCCAATAAGCTACTAGAAGTATACTATTATCTTCTGACATTGTTTTTTAGTGTGTAGAGAAGATGATGTGTTAGAAATGGAGATTTTGGGGTGTATTTATAAGGGAAGCAGGGGAGGGGAAATAATTGGTTTGGTGGGGGTTGTTAGTTGGGAGGGGAAATAATGGGTTAGGTGGGGGTTGTTAGTTGGGAGGGGAAATAATTGGTTAGGTGGGGGTTGTTACTTGGGAGGGGAAATAATCGGTTAGGTGAGGGTTGTTAGTTGGGAGTAAAAAAATAAATTGAACATACGAAATAAACTAAACATAATGGCTACTAGTACAATACATAAATAAAGTTTACATACATAAGGAAAAAACTAAACATAATGGCTACCAGTACCACATCGGGTCCCACGTCGAGTGCGTCGTGGTCGCAGCTCCTGTTCCCGTTCCTCCACTTCAACGTTACCAAACGTATGAGGGATATCCAATGGTGTCGTGCTGGAGAGATATTGTCCAAACTCATCCGTGAGTTGACTTTCTTGAGTAAACACATAATCTCCATCAAATCTGACTGGTGACGTACGATACGTGCGTTGTGTAGGATCTGGAACCTCGATCTAGGTGACCCGACCCGCAACCTCAATCTTTGACACTGCCGCCACCTTCGGTGCTCCTTAGATCTTCCTAGCCTACTCCATCGTTTTTGCTGGATTTTAGCCACCATCGCTTCTCGTCATCTTCGCTACTCCATCGTCTTCCGTCTACGGTAGCCCGACCCGGCAAATAGAGGAGCGACAGTAATTCTAGCGGCTTCCAATCCATCTCATTCCTTCCTCAATTAGCCGGTTGTACCGAAAATTGGGCACAACCAGATGTACGATATAATTTGTGAAATAAAATAGGGTGATGGGTTAAATTACCACGCGAATGTTAAGTATAAGTAATCGGAAGCGCTGTAGGTGGAAACACTTGTGACCCGGTTTGTTATTAATGATAATAGGAGCTATTACAAAGTACAAGCCGTGTGGATTAATTAAAGCATGCCTCACAAATGAGGCTTTTAGGGGTATTTATAATAATCCTAAGCACGTCAAGCACATCCTTGATTATCCAGCCGGTCAGCAGACTGACTGGTTCCCTAAGCCGACTTCAATAGTAGAATCTGTATCTTCGCCTTCCGACCGGTCGGGTAGCCCGGGTCAAACAAGTCAGGCGGCGCTACATTCGGTACCTCCCAGTCGGTCAGACCAACTGGGTGGTACCCATGGGTTATTACCCACCAAGGAGTCCTCCGATTCCCGGTCATATGGGAACCATCAGGGGCGGGAAGCACATGCGAACATCTCTTCAAATTTGAACTGCCCAGGCGGTTTTTGGCGGGAATATGGCCTCAGCGAACCAGCGCCAAATAAAAAATATTTGAATTTTGAATTTTTGAAAACCTGGGTATCAAAGGCGGGAGAATCATCATTGAAATCCGGTACGGAGCCACCGATTTGTTGTGTTGTTTCGTCTCCCCGAGAGGTTATGATGAAGAATCATTTCAGCTGCCACGTGTCTCTCCGTCATTCGTTCGGCTGTGCGGCATCTTCCCTATATAAAGCGAGGTTCCTCCTTGAATTTTCTCACTTCGCGAATCACTACCTAAAAATCTGCCCGGTTGCTTCTACTATTCCTTGAGTCCTCCGAGTCCTCTTGTTCCAAGTAAGTCTCTTTCCTCCCTCTTTTCTTTGAGTCATGTCTGACCACGAGGATAGCCAGAACCCCTCTGTCCATTCCTATGGTTCTGGCTCCCGGTCTCACACCTCTAGTTCCTCCTCCTCTTCAGCTTTTGAGCGCCCGGCTGCTTCTCCACAGAAGCAGCCAGTTGATGCCCCCACTAGTGCCCCTTCTTCTTCTACGGCATAAGTGGTCTCGGTTGCCCAGCTTGGGGACGAGGGCTTCATTCAGCTGGACGACCGGTTGCTCCAAGAGCAACCGTCGCACATGCAGAAAGTCAAGTCCACGAGTTGCGCAACCTTATGCCTGATGGGTATGAATTGACTTAACGGGCTTCGTGGAAGAACATTATTTCTCTCCACGCCGGTACGACGATTGGAATCCACTATCATTCCATCAGGGACCTGGGTGAATTCTTTATTCACCCCTTCAAAGTCCTTTTCTTCGAAACATACGGTATCATGCCCGGGAAAGTGGCCCCAAATGGTCACCATATGTTGAGCAGTTTTGTCAATGTCTGCCGGTTTCTTTGTATTCCTCTCTCCCTCCGTCTCTTTGACCATATGTTTGATGTCCGGCTCAGGTCCAAGGAAACCCTTGGATTCGTGGTCGTGTCTTCTCACCAAGGCCGGACATTTCTTTGTGGCATTCCTCCTTCCAATAAGAAGTGGAAGGACAAATACGTTTCCATCAAATTCCCCTCGGCTACTTTCCCTTTTGCCCAAAATGTCTGGGGGAAGAGAATGAAGCGCCAGGTCAAACCCCAGGAGGCCGATGACCTGGTCGCTTGGGAAGCTACTCTCCGGGCCTAGGACGCCTCCACCCGCGGTCTTTACAACGTGGGGAAGTGCGGGGTCTACCCCGGTCGGGAGACCGATCCCGAGCCAGGGATCGTTCTGACCGAGGCGATCCCTCATGCCATTCCCATCCGCCGGGTCAAAGGTTCTAAGGCCCCGGTCTCCACCACCAGTCCTTCTCGCCCGGGGAAGAAGAAGAAGGAGAAAGGTCAAATTATTGCCCTTCTCAACTTTCATTTATTTTTCCATTTTGCAACTCTCATCTACTAACCTGTCTCCATCTTCTTTGTTTCAGTGGTGAAATTCAACTCCAAGTTTGCCACTCCCAAAATCGTCATTAAGGAGCCCTCAACCGCCTAGCCCCTCAGCCAACCCTCCGGCCAGCCGTTCTCCTTGGATGAGCAAACTGCTCAGTCTCACCAGGACACCAACCAACCCATCCACTCCGGAAAGCTCTACAACAACGTAGACACCATGGAGTTCGAGAACCTGATGGGGGAGACCGGCCATACATCAGAGGCCGGCCAAGGTGGTCAACAAATTGAGGGGGGCCGCGACGAAGAGGAGGCCGTCGAGGGGGCCCTTCAAAGGAAGAGGCGGAGGGCAGAGGAAGTGAACCAGCCGGTCCAGTCCTCCGACGCCGGCAAAGAACACGGCGAGCTCCGGCTGTTCGCCCTAATGGTCCGGTCTGATGAGGAGCTTTACCAGGCCTTCTAGTCTGATCTGCAAGAGGTAAATCCCCTACTCCTTCTGTCTATTTTACTGTACTAAAAAATCTGATGAGGAGCTTTACCAGGCCTTCTAGTCTGATCTGCAAGAGGTAAATCCCCTACTCCTTCTGTCTATTTATTTCCCTGAAAAATCTCCATGTCTTTAAAGCAGGTCGGCCGGATCGGCCTGGAGTACTTCACCCGTCTGGTGAAGTCCAGGGATGAGGAGAAGGCCCGGCTGGAGGCCATGATGGTGACCTGCCGAAAGGATGCTCAGGCCGCCCATCAGAAGGCGGAGAAAGCCGAAGAGAAGCTGGTGGAGCACTGTGCGGTCTACCACTAGCTCTATGCCAAGCATGAAGGTCTTCCGAAGGCCGCAAAAGAGGCCGGCGCGCAGGCCCAAGAGAAGATCGAAAAGCTTGAAGCCGAGAACGCCCGGTCAGGTGAAGAGATTGCGCGGCTAGGAGATGAGCTGGAGAAGGAGCGGGCGGAACGAGCTACCCTTGCCGCTGCCTGGGCAACCCAAGAGCCGGAAGAGTTCGCCGCCCGAGCTCTACCTGACCAGGAGACAGCCATCCGCTTCTTCCAAGGCCTATACAAGCACAAGGTGTCAGCCAAGGTCGTTGACGATATCGAGACCTTCGGCTTCGAGAGTGGTCAATACGATGAACGACGGGCTCTGTACGGCATCCTTCAGCATCGGATCCAAGGCTTTGAGCCCAAGGCCCTTTCTCTGCCCAAGTTGCATGATGAGGTGCCGGTTCCACCTTTCCCAGGGATCTGATCTCCAAGCCGGCCTTCTTACTCTCTCTTTTGTTTTTATTTTTGCATGTAATGGCTGGCCTCCGGGCACTTTTTGTAAAACAATTAAGATTTCAATGAAAATCTTGTTTCCATATTGTGTGCTGGGTGCCTGAGTACTTTACTTATCACTTGCATTTTCAATCGTGTAGACTAGTAAGTTACAGCCCGGCTGCAATTACCCGATCTCTTACATAGTTTTACCCAAGTCCTTTCGAAAGACTTATTGGGTGGCCGGGGAGAGAATAGATCTGACCCATCTTCTCCCGGTCGGTTTGTAGACCCGCGATAGCAATTTGACTTGTCCTTTTCGAAAGGATAGTCTTTTGCTCGGGCGCTCGTGAAGTCGGCTTGTCTTTCACAATGGCTTACTGTGTAATGCCCCAAAATATGGTCTAAAAGTTATATTATTTTATAATAAAAGTATTTTAGAAATAATATTTTGACTCAACAAAAATATTATTTCTATGTTTGACCAAAAACGAAGGAATTTTTGGAGTCAATGATTTTTGTTAAGATTGACTTTTATGGATAGGTCTCGAAGAGACGAATCCAACGGTTTATTTTATGAGTAAATCTGATGTACAGAGTTTCAGTTATGACATTTTAAATATGTAATTTGTATAAAAATGAGAAAAAGTCAAAGAAGTGAACTTTTGTAAAATGACTTATTGAATTAAATATTTATATTTAATAATATTGGTTGAATATGAGACTAATTTTGATTACATATCAATTAATTAAATTTTGAGTCTATCAAAGTAAACACCCAAAAATAAGCTGTCAGAAAAAGTATTTCAAATAAATATAAAAATTATATCATTAAATAGAGTTTGACTGTCTGATCGCAACGGTGTGAACGGATTTCAATTTGGATAAAATTGGACCAAAAAGTGTACCCCAATTGAGGTAATTTAATCAAACTAAACTGGAAGGAATTATATAAGCAGCCGCCTCCTCCACTTAGACGATCGGAAATCACAGAGCTCCAACACGCCACTCCCTCTCCCAGGCTTATATATAGGGTCATTCATTCTTCATCATCTCCCCACCAAAATCATCCCATTAGTTAGAGGAGAGTTCAGAGAATTGAGAGAAGCTGTCCGGAGAGCTTCCCGTCGCCGGAGCAAGCCGTGGTGTTCGCCGGAAGTTTCACCGTTTTTCGGCCGGAATCATCGTTTCACTCCGAAGTAAGCCCGTAGATATATCTAGTGATTAGAATGTTCGTATAGATCGTTTCTACGTTCATAAATGGTCATTTGGTTGAGTTTTGTGTTTGACATATGTGAAGAACCATGAATCATAAACCTTGAACTTGTTGTTAAAACTTCGAATTGATGCCTCTAAAATGATCTACGAACCTTGGAGAACATTT